TCCATCCCCACGAGGACATCGTAGTCCTCGGATTCCGAGACTCCACACTGCAGTCGGATACAGCACTCTTTCTCCGTCCCTGGTAAGAGCACTACTTCCACCGGCCGCTTGGTTTTCGGCATCCATTTCGGTTCCCCCCCTACGGCCGTCATAAGCAGGATTCCCCGCTCGATGGTGCGCCCCGATACATCCAGCTTCAGTTGTTTAGCGAGTCCCTTGCCGATGAGTACGTGATGCGCTCCGGTGTCAATAATAGCTTGCTTCACGGGCAGACCTCCCACCGTAAGACTTCCCTTTTCAGCAATCAGCCACGCTTGACACACCAGCCGCTCGTTCGGTTGCCGCCTCATCTCCGAGGGTCTTGCTCCTTCTACTGAACTGCCCCGGGGCCGGGGACCGCTAGTCACTTCGCTGCTCTGGGACTCGCTAATGCGGGGTTGGAGTCTGATATCGTCTCGCGCCCGCGGATAGGCCATAGCTGCGTACTCTCGAATATAATCCTCCTCTTCCTCCTCCTCCGTTTCGTCGATTTCTTCGTACGCCAACATTGCCCGCGCCTTTACCTCCTGCTGATTCGGTAGCTGCTCCAGTCTCTGCTGCAGCCGCTTGACTTCGGCTTGGAGCTCCTCTCGCGTTGCCCCCTGCGAGTCCTTCGGCCGGCTGTAACAGTCTTCCTTCCTGTGCCCGCGTTTCCCGCATTGCTCGCATGTCGGCGCGCTGGGACATTCACGCCTCAAATGCCCATGTTCTCCGCAGGTGTGACAAAGTCGAGGGTCCCCTCTGCCACTGCCCCCAGAGGTAGGTTCGGGTACCGCAGCCACTGCCCAACTCGTCTTGGCCCGGCTCCTTCCGTCCGAGTCTTCTAGATCCAGCAGTCTTTGCGCCTGTTCGGTTTTCTTCGTCAGCAGATAAACTTCCTTGAGAGTAACATCGGCGCCGATGCTGTAGACGGTGCTCCGCACTACTCCCTTCAGTTCTTCGTCTAGCCCTCGTACAAACTTCCTCACAAGCAGGCGTTCGTCCGTGCTTTCGAGGTCCTCGGCCAGTTCCCGGAGCCTGCAGTAGTACGCCAGTAGGGATTCTTCCTTCTTACGGCGGAAGTCCCGGAACTCTTCAACAGGCGCCTTGGTCTGCCCCGCGAACTCCTTCCGTAACAGCTGCAGGAAGCGGGCCGTAGGATTGGCTATCTCGCCCTCCGCCAGCTCGTCCAACACGTCGTCGCGGGTCAGGCGGTAGAAGGTCTCGGCCTCGCCTGCCAAGGTCCCCACCATCTTCCGGAAGAACTCCGCCGGATCATATCCGTCACGCTCCCAGCAATATTGGACGGTCTCGAGCTGCATCAGATAATTCTTCAGGCTGGGCCCCACGCCAGGAATACCCGTATACCGCTCGGCCACCTCCACCTTAGGCAAGTTAGTCGCCTTCCATCGAACTCCGCCAGTGCTGGGTCCTTCCTGTGAATCGCTTGGAGCGCCCGCGACGCCGCTATGTATCAAGGCTCTCCTTTGCCTGGGCTCTTGTACGAGGCTTTCCGTCGGCCTCCAGCGTGTCTCAATCCGTTCCTTCCTCGGAGGCATCCTCGGCATTCCGGTTTGCGGGGTCGCTGCTTCTTGGTTCTTCCAGCGTTCACGTATTTTCTCTGTCCAGCGAGCATCGAGAGGAGTATCTCCCGGGTCCGAGATGACAGTTCGCGCTCGTTCCATGCTATCTCCCACCACACGCGCTCGTTGGTGTGGAGTCCGGTACTTAGGTGAATCCGTTTTGCCACGTACCGCTCTCACGTCTCCCCGCGCGGCTATCTCTTCTGCACGCCTCCCCTCCGTAGGCTTCAACTCCTCAGTATCGTTCCACAGTCTCGTTCTTAAGAACTCTCAACGATGCATCGAGATCCTTGCGTGATTGTTAAAAAGTCCTGCAACACAGCCTGTATCTAACCATGGAAACCCTAGCTCGGCTGACTGGAAAACAGAATGTTGGGGTCTGTATTGCTTGCGGCTTTGGTTTCACGTGCTCAGTTCGTTGGGGGTAGACGGAATAGTAAGCATGAGTATGAAAACAATCACGTAAGCAACCTTTCCCCTGCCTGCCTATTTCTTAAGTATCTGCGTTGGTTACCGTTGTGCTAACGGATCCCTTCTCGCCCGCCAACTCTCTAATGTTTCGGTTGTGTCGCTTCAACCACCCCGCTTTGCTAGTCATCCTCCCTACTGTACTGTTCTACATTTCGTAGTAGTCACGATGATATATCTACTGCTCTACGCACAGATTAGAATCGTGACAAAGCACATGCGTATCAAGTGGCACTGGCTGCGTAAGGAGGTGAAGAGGGGGACGGTGAATCCGATCTACATCAAGACTCACCAGCAGTCAGCAGACTTCCTCACGAAGAGGCTTGCGTATGAGCCACATTGGTGTTGTGTGCGCATGAGTGGAATGAGCATGAACTAGCATGGAATGATGGGGATGCAGCCGGCAGGCTGAGGAGGAGTGTGTTGGGTGCAAATTCACATTGCATGACATCCTGCCGCCTGTTTGTACGAGTATGCGTGTGCGAATGCATTTGGGTGTGAATGGAATGTTCGTGTGTTTGTTTGCTTTCGCAATTTTCGCTTGAAGCATTTGCAGGTACTCGCGCAATGTGCGCTTCGGCACAACATTGTACGCGCTATGAACAGTACAAGCAGAAAGGACGAGCTCGCAAAGGAACCCAAGATGGAAGCTTTGCGGTTCGGCTTACTTGATTGCGCAGATTCAGTTCTATCCAACTCGAAATTGTACTGTTTTGTTTGGTTGACTATAGTGTAGCAGGGCAGGCACTATAGAGGTACAATCTAGGTGAAGGCTGGATGTTGTTTGTCTGTATCTGCATGCTACAGGGCCAGGGGAAACCAGCGGAACCAGCATTTGGCTGGTTGGGCAAAGACAAAACAGGTTCTGTTTTTAGGACCTGAACCTGGTTGTTGTTTTCCCAGGTTGGAAAAACAGAACCACAGATTGTTTACCAACCTACCACCTGCTGTTTTGTCCAGCCAGGTTGGTTCTGTTGCTTGGAATTATTTGGGATCATCCTTGGTTGTTCCCAAGTTGATTCCCAAGGTCTTTGCTAGCTAGAACTATTTATTCCTTCTCTGTTTGTACCTAGATATAGTCAATTTGATTCAAGCAAATTCCTCCCTTCCTGGAATTTCGTTTCTACGCGGTGCGACGACGGAATTTTACCCAAGTCAACGCTAGTATGCTAGCACTCCAACGCTAGGCAAACGCTGCCCGAGCCATAACTCTGTAATGGCAGAACTTTTCGCGTGGCAACTTGGTTCATTTTGAAGCTCTTGGAGCGAGCTTCGATATAGAAAATTCTCAGCTTAATCCGATCGACGGTCTGCACGATACGCTGCGCGACGTTCGAGGTACTCTTGTTATTTTGGCTAAGTCATTCTTGACTCCTCTCTCTACAAACTCGGACCCGAGGATAGGGGCTGGTCTTGTACCAGGCACCCAAGGACCCTTGGAGGTGACCCCGAGGAGAGGTTTAAGTTTGATTAAGTCTTAATAGCTTGAGTTTATTAGGCCCTTACACCAACAACCTTAGCGCATGATACCATTTTTACAAGAGAATAAATGATTAAAGACGAGATAGAAAGTCCTAGGCATAACAATCGTGTACTAACTCTAGCAAAGCTACACCAAGCCTATAAAGTATACATGTGAATCGCAAATGTGTAAGCTGACAAACAGACCTTGAAGACTCACATTTGCAGATTGAATATTAATGTTGTCTATAGAACATGAATAGGAACATTTGGATTGGTGGTAACGAGTGTGGATTTATACTATAGGGCAGCGTCAGGTCGCATATTTTTTGCACTTTTTACATATTGCCTTGATTGAGCAAGTTTAAGAGTTTTTATTTTCTCATGAAGTCTTTGAGTTTGTTTAGCCTGACAAAATCAGTGTTTTAAAAATTGAATATTATTGTATACGAGCAATACGAATGTTTGGGTTCGTGGTAGCGAGAGTGAATTGATACTTTAGCGAAGCAGAGCTAAGGGGAAGGAAGGCAAGAGGAGATGGTGGAGGTGGCAAGGGGAGAGTTGGGAGAAGAGCGCGTGCGCAACGGACGGTGGGATCGCCATCCTGCCACTGCTTTCGACAACGCCTCGCACAGCGTGGAGCGAGTAATAGAAGCAAGTCGGAAGCGTTGTGAAAGAGCTCAAGTATGGATAGGAATGAGGGTGGAAACGAATGAGTTTGGTTGCGAGGTTTGGTGATTGCGCGTGGGTCCAATAGCAGCGATATTGCATGCTCACCGTGCTGCTGCTCGCCTCGCCACCTTCGCCCTCCGCCCTTCCGGCAGGCGCGCGTGCGGGTGCCGGTGCGGCGGTGAAGCGGCAGGTGCGGATGGGACGAGGTGGGCGACGAGCCCGTTGCGAGCGCGAGCGACGGATCCACGCGGCAGCGCCATTCGCGTGCCACCTGACCGTGCCCACCACTCACTGCACGCTGCTCGCCCACCCCCGCCCCCGCGCGCCACTCACCCACACCCACCCCTGCGCGCCACTCACCCACACCCACCCATGCACGGCAGTGACCCTTACCCCCTGCGCAGCAGTGAAGCTTATCCAGAGGCGCGTGGCATGGGCGTGGTGGTAGCGAGCAGTCGTGCGTGCACGGTTGGATTTAGGGTTGGTGGGCGTGTGGGCAGCTCGCTTAACTCGCCATCCGTGCCACCACTGCACCACTCATCACCGCCCAACTCCGCTTTCCCGTAAGCCTCTCCCACACACGCCCCACCACCCTGCCGCTTGACTCAGTATCGCGCTCAACCGTGCAACACGCGTGAGTGGGGAGAGTGAGTGGGGAGAGTGAGTGGGGAGATTGAGCGGGGAGAGAGAGTGGGGAGAGTGAGTTGGGAGAGTGAGTGTTAAGAGTGAGTGGGGAGAGTGAGTGGGAGAGTGGTGCGAGAGTAGTGCGTGTGGTGAGTGCATGAGAGGGTGCAAGGCATGAGGCAAGTGCAACACAAATGCGCTGCTAGTGTTGTCCAGGTGAGAGTGCCTTTGCAGCGCACAGTGCGACATACGGTGGGCGTGGCCCGTAAGCACTCCGTGTGGCCCGTGGGCGTGACAGCGTGTCATGTGATGCGCGTGTACTGTGTGGCAGTCGCGCGCGTCACAGCTGGGGCGCGTGCCCGTGGACCACGGCTTGCCCAACCACATGCTGCTGTGCTGCGCCTACCCTGCTGCCCACCCACCGCCGCCACCTCCCTCACCCACTCCAACGCCCGCCGCTCCCTCAACTCCACCCGCCACACGCGCTCTCACCTTCGGCCTCTCCCTCGCCACAGACCCGCCGCCCTTGCCTGCATGCATGCCTCTACTTCTCTCTCCCGCTCTGCGCTTTCGCCTGCATGCGCATCGTGCTGCTGCCTACGTCGGAGCGGGCGAGGGAGTGCAAGCAGGGGTGCAGGGGGTGGCAGCAGGGGCGCGCAGGGAGGGCAAGTTGAGGCAGCTACTGCGTGGCGGCCGGGGAGTATTCAGCTTTTACTCTCTGCGCTGCAACTGGCGTTCGCTCTTGAGGTGGGTGGATTGGGGGGTGTGCGCATGGGGCAGTGAGCGTGGAGTGTGGGGACGTGCCGTGTGGGGCTTTGGTGGAGTGAGAGGGGCCATGGTTGATGTGGCATGGTGCATGCAGGATAAGGGGCACATGACATTGGGGGAGGAACTACCTGCATGCACATCCCACCCGCATGCTCTCCACATGCGCGGCCCCCTTGCTGCCCCCTTGCTCCTCTCTATCCACCATTCCTTGCTTCGCCCTGCTTACCACCCGCCAGCCAATGCATGCCTTTGTTGCTGCCTGCAGTGGATATGCGTGGGTGGTAATGGGTGGGATTGTGCATGGGGGTGGGTGGGGATGAGGGCAGGTGAATGCGTGGATGAGGCATGATGGGGGGTTCAAGAAGCTGCACTGCCCTTCACTCTCACGCATTGCCCATCAGACCCATTCATACGCCTTGTATGCCTCCATGCACCGCATTGCTAATCACTGCACCACAATCACCACCACCTGCTACCCCACCCTCAACACCTCGCTGCTCTCCCCCACAATGCCACTATTCGCTGCACTAACCCTGCTTCGCAACCTAACTCTACGTACCTCTCATTCGACTCCGCCCATTCCCCTCCCTCCCTCACTCACTCCCTCACTCAGTCACTCACTCTCCCCCCCTTCCTCCCTCCCTCCCCCCCGTCTACCCTCCCACTATCTCTTAACGCACCCGCAGCAGCAGAGAATGAGAGCCAGGCGTCAGTCACTCTCCCACGCCCACGCACACGCCCACACCCTGATCTTGCTGCCACTCCTTCATGCTTGTGCTGCAGCCTGCCTCATATGCTGCAAGCGAGGGACGTTGCTTCTGACCGCTCTGTCCTATGAAACCACTGCCTTGGTCGGTCTCAACTCATCATGATCTGCTGTGCGTCACGAGGGCTGTCAAGTGAAATCACAAGCACTGCCGCAGCAGCAGAAATTGAGGTGTATGGTACAGTACTTGAGCAGGCATTGTGTGTCGACTAAGAATGGACAGTCACAGCATTCACTGACCCGAGTAGGCCATGCAAGGTTACTGCATCTATTCATACCCTAATGCCTGTTCAAATATATTCATACCCAATGCGAGGACGGGGCCAACAACAACTTCCTTTGACAGTAACGTACTTACACTTGGTACCATTCATATGGTTAGTTAACGCACTTACTCTTGGTACTATTCATATGGGTAAGTAACACACTTATTGTTGGTACCATCCATACGGGTAAGTATATGTACTTACTCTTTGTACCATCCATACGAGTAAGTAACGCATATATTATTGGTAACTTTCATTTGGGTAAGTAACGCAATATTATTTGTACCATCCATACAGGTGAGTAACGGACTTACTCTGGTACCATCGATATGGGTAAGTATACGTCTTTACTCTTTATACCATCTATACGGGTAAGTAACGCACATACAATTGGTAACATCCATACGGGTAAGTAAGGGACTTACTTTTGGTACCATCGATACGGGTAAGTATACGTACTTACTCATTGTACCATCCATACGGGTAGGTACCGCATATATTATTGGTAACATCCATATGGGTATGTAACGCAATATTGTTGGTAGCATCGATACAGGCAAGTAACGGACTTACTCTTTATACCATCGATACGGGTAAGTAACGCACATACAATTGGTAATATCCATACGGGTAAGAAATGGACGTATTCTTGGTACCATCCACAAGGGTAAGTATACGTAGTTACGCTTTGTACCATCGATACAGGTAGGTACCGCACATATTATTGGTAACATCCATATAGGTAAGTAACGAACTTACTCTTGGTACCATCCATATGCATTAGTAACGCACTCACTCTTGGAAACATCCACACGGATAAAAAACGCACTTGCTCTTGGTACTTTCCATATGGATTAGTACCGCACTTACTCTTGGTACCATCCATACAAATAAGTAACGCACTTACTCTTGGTACCATCCATATGGGTAAGTAACGCACTCACTCTTAGTACCATCCATATAAGAAAGTGATGCACTTACTATTGGTTACATCCATACGGATAAGTAATACACTTACTCTTTGTACCATCTATACGGGTAAGTAACGCACATACAATTGGTAACATCCATACGGGTAAGTAACGGACTTACTCTTGGTACCATCCATACGGGTACGAATACGCATATACTCTGGGTTAGTACCGCACAAATTATTGGTAACATCCATATGGGTAAGTAAAGAACTTACTCTTGGTACCATCCATATGGGTTAGTAATGCGCTCACTCTTGGTAACATCCATACGGATAAGAAACCCACATACTCTTGGTACTATCCATATGGATTAGTACCGCACTTACTCTTGGTAACATCCATGTGGATAAGTAATGCACATATTCTTGCTACCATCCATATGGGTAAGTAACACACGTACTCTTGGTACCATCCATATGGGAAAGTAACGCACTTACTGTTAGTACCATCCATACGGGTAAGTAACGCTCTTACTCTTGGTACCATCCATACAGGTAAGTAACGCAGCTACTCTTGGTAACATTCATACGGGTAAGTAACACATTTACTCTAGGAACCACCCATACGGATAAGTATCGCACTTACTCTTGGTACCATCCGTACGGATAAGTAGAACTCTTACTCTGGGTACCATCCGTAAGGATCAGTAACGCATATACTATTGGTTCCATCCATACGGGTAGGTATACGTACTTACTCTTTGTACCATCTATACGGGTAAGTTACGCAAATACTAATGGTAACATCCACACGGGTAAGTAACTCCCCTAAGCTTGGTACCATCCATACGGGTAAGTATACGCACTTACTCTTTGTACGATCCATACGGGTAAGTACCGCACAAATTATTGGTAACATCCATATGGGTAAGTAACTAACTTACACTTGGTACCATCCATATGTATTATTAACGCACTCACTCTTGGTAACGGCCATACGGATCAGTAATGCAATTACTCTTGGTAACATCCATACGCGTAAGTAACGCACCTACTCTTGGTACCATGTATATGGATAACTAATGCATTTACTCTAGGTTACATTCATACGGGTAAGTAACGCACTTACTCTTTGTACCATCCATACGGCTAAGTAACGCACCTACTCTTGGTACCATCCATACGGGTAAGTAAGGCATTTACTCTTGGTAACATCCATACGGGTATGTAACGCACTTACTTTTCGTACCATCCGTACGGATGAGTAACGCACTTACTCTTGGTACCATCCATACAGGTGAATAACGCACTTACTCTTTGTACCATCCATACGAGTAAGCAACGCACATACTGTTGGTAACATCCATACGGGTAAGTAACGTACTTACTCTTGGTACCATCCATATGGGTTAGTATACGCACTTACTCTTTGTACCATTATTGGTAACATCCATATGGGTAAGTAACACACTTAGTCTTGGTACGATTCATACAGAAGTAACGCACTTACTCTAGGTACCATCCGTACGGGTAAGTAATACACATACTCCTGATACCGTCCATATTGGTAAGTAACGCACTTACTTTTGGTACTTTCCATATGGGTAAGTAACGCACTTATTCTTGGTACCATCCATATGGGTAAGTAACGCACTTACTATTGGTACCATCCATAAGGGTAAGTAACGCACTTACACTTTGTACCATCCACATGGGTAAGTAACGCACTTACTCTTGGTACCATCCATACGGGTAAGTAACGCACTTACACTTGGTACCATCCATATCGGTACATAACTCACTTACTCTTGGCACCATCCATACGGGTAAGTAACGCACTTAGACTTGGTACCATCCATGCGGGTAAGTAACTGACTTACTCTTGGTACCATCCATATGGGTACATAACGTACTTACTATTGGTAACATCCATACAGGTAAGTAACGCACATACTATTGGTAACATCCATATGGGTAAGTAACGCATCTACTTTTGGTACCATTCATATGGGTAAGTGACGCACTTACTCTTGGTAAAATCCATATGGATAAGTAACGCACTTATTCTTGGTAACATCCATACGGGTAAGAAACGCACTTACTCTTGGTATCATCCAGACGGGTAAGTAATACACTTACACTTGGTACCATCTATATGAGTAAGCAACGCACTTATTCTTGGAACCATCCATACGTGTAAGTAACGCACTTACACCTGGTACCATCCACACAGGTAAGTAACTCACTTACTCTTGGTACCATCCGTATGGGTAAGTAACCCACTTACTAATGGTAACATCCATACGGATAAGTACCGCACATATTATTGGTAACACCTATATAGGTTTGTAACGCACTTACTTCTGGTACCATTCATATGGATTAGCAATGCGGAGATAACTTTAGCAACACGAGCTAGACTACGGGCTAGGCCCGGGTGCAAGAGTGGTCTCTGCGTTCGTTCCTTAGTCGTTTCTTTGTGTTCTCGCTGCTTGCTAGTTCACGGTGAGAATTTGCAAGAGCTTCACTAGGACAACATGACAACAATGATCAAAATAATTTTGGCATCAGAGCTAGCTGCCGGTCGACCTCCAGCGCAGCATGGTCGACCGCGCTCCAGCGCAGAAGCGCTCGCACCGCTCCAGCGTTGCAAGTCCACGGTATGCCAACGCTGCAGCAAGTCGGCTGCACAGCGTTGCACCCGCAGAACATCGGTGCATCTGCTTCTCAGGTGCGTGCAGCTGGTTAGCGCACCACGCCTCGTCACGTGCACAGCGCAGACGCCTGGCAGAATCCACGACAGCGACTGCGCCCATCAACCATGTCGACCTCGGGATACCACCCCCGAGGTCAGCCTTGCAGAAGTCACCTCGGCGACCTTCGCACACGTCGCCCGGGTATCCCGGTCGACCAGCCCTGTCTATCGCCGACGGCTCATGCCCGGCGTCCCCAATCCGGTATCCAGGCGTCCAGGGCGCCGACCAATCGTTGAGGTTGTTGGGTGCAAATTCACATTGCACAACATCCTGCCGTCTATTTGTACGGGTATGCGTGTGCGAATGCATTTGCGTATGAATGGAATGTTCGTGTGTTTGTTTGCTTTCGCAATTTTCGCTTGATGCATTTGCAGGTACTAGTGCAATGTGCGCTTCGACACAACATTGTACGCGTTATGAACAGTGCAAGCAAAAAGAACGAGCTCGCAAAGGAACCCAAGATGGAAGCTTTGCGGTTCGGCTTACTTGATTGCGCAGATTCAGTTATATCCAACTCGAAATTGTACTGTTTTGTTTGGTTGACTATAGTGTAGCAGGGCAGGCACTATAGAGGTACAATTTAGGTGAAGGTTGGATGTTTTTTGTTTGTATCTGCATGCTACATGGCCAGGGGAAACCAGCGGAACC